CTCGCTCCTCCCTTAACCTCTTTGGAGCTGTCCCTCAGAGCTATCTGAGAGACTGTCTTCCAAGCTTCAGCCCTCAGTTTTGTCCATCAAATAAAACATAATTCTCAACTTTTAGGTTGTGCATTTTTTTTCGGTCAACATCTCCATTAAACAAGTCCATTTTTATTTTGCCTACTAAATATCTTCTGAATCTCCCTACTCCTCTTTATTTCTGCCAGTGTCACCCTGGCTTATATTATCATCCTATCATCCAGGTTACAGGAATAGCCTGAAAACTTGTTTCCTCCTTTACTTAAAAAAAAAAATTACCCCAACAAACCAGCTTTATTGTGATATAATTCACATAGCATATATTCACCCATTTAAAGTGTACAATTCAGTAGTTTTTAGTATATGCAGCCATCTCTAAAACCTAACTGTAGAACATTTTTCTTCTATCCCAAATCACAAATACTCTTGACCCACTCTAACCTGTCATCCAATTTGCAGCTAGATTGATCTTTTTTTTTTAAAGCTAATCTGATTATGTTCCCCTCCCCCATTTCCCTACACAAAAAACCCTTCAATGGTCTACTATCTCCTTACAATAGACCAAAATCTTTGGTGTGACTTTCATTCCACACTGCCACCTGCCCTCCCCCTCCCCCCGCCCCAATATCTCCAGCTCCATTTCACATCACTCTCTCCCATAATACGGCACTATGATATGGCCACAAAATGCTTTACCCTTCCTCATGGATTTTCAGATGCTTTTCTTTTTCTCTGCCCCATCCCTATCTCTATCACCTTCCCAACTTTTATATCTCAGCTCAAATACTGCTTTCTCAAGGAAGGCTTCCATGACTGCCCTTCCCCCTACCACACATCCAGATGAGCTTAGGGTCCCTCTGTTAGCCTCAGATTCCTCCTCTAGAATATAGGCTCCATGAGGCCAGGTGCTGGTACAATCACTGTATCCCCAGTGCCTAGCACGGTGCCTGCCACTTTGCAGACATTTCATTTGTTCAGCTAATATTATTGGGTGCTCGCTATTTGTCAGGCACATTTCTAAGTGAAGATATGCAAAAGAGCACGGCTGGAAGTCTGAGTCCTTGACTGTAACTACCTCCAGAAGCTGCCAAACACTGGCTGTGTACTAGGTCTGGTGTGGGAAGTGGGACAGCTTTCCCCATGAGACCTGTCAGATAAAGCCTTTGCAGTTACCTGTGGTCAGGCCTGAAAGATCATACATAGGATTTTGGACAGGAGCTGGACTCCTCAGAGATTAGGGGATGTTTTTCTCTTGAGAAATTGGACGGGCCAAGAGAAAAGCTTCCAGGTACTGGTGTGTGTGTGTGTGTGTGTGTGTGTGTGTGTGTGTGTGTGTGTGTG